TATTCAGAAAGTTGTGTAGGAAGCTCAACCGAGGCACATGCCAGGACATTCCTAAAGTTTTGGTAGGTTCCCAGAATTCTGTCTCCAAGTCGATTATGGGTTTAGCATTTGCTCTAGGGCCCAAGATACTTGAAGACATCCCACAAGCCCGGCCCAATGTGGAAACCGAGACCCAATCAAAATCATGTTCGACAAGTTGCTCTCCATAATCTTGTTGGAGCCAAGACCCATGAGCGCTGAAAGCACCAAGATCACAAGGAAGATTTTGATGGCTGTCGCACGGACATGTGCTTTTGCGAACACAAGCATCATGAGATCAATCGTTCACCTCATGCATGTAAGGCTTTCGCAACACTGAGAGTACCTTTGAAGTTTCCAACACAACACAATCCCAGATAGACTCCTGAAAGGGTCCACAATTTGAAGAACCCACCAGGATGAGCAGGGCTTTGACCGCTGCCAACAGCATCTTATCGGGGTTAAGGGATCGAGAAATGTAGACTGTGGCCTGTTTCTGAGAAGGCTTCATAGTGAAGATCCTGTTCTGGGTGGCACTTTGCGATCATCTTTGATCTGTGCCCTATTGTTACCTATCCATAAGTAATCTTGCGAGTATTGGAAGAAGCATTCAGTTTTGTTCTTGCAGGTAGTTTGCTGCATGGGCTGCTGTGGAAGCTGTGGCTCTTTGTGAGTTGTTTTTGTGATTGGCCGCAGGGGCCGAACATGTTGTTTTCATGAACGTTTGCGACAGGATGGAAGATGACAAGAAGTTGGGCTTTAGAGACATCCCTCAGTATTTCCAAACGATAACATGTCAACCGTCAACATACGTAGCAAATCCGCGGAAGTCTATATCCACTTCAGGACGACGAAAGCTTCACGAAGAAAGCATTGCCTCACAAAGCCTGACGTATGCAGTCCTGTCAAACCCTTACAATCTCAGGCAATGCATGGAGACCCACTGCGGCAAGGATTGTGCCCACATCGCCGTGCAGTTCCAGCATCTCTTCCTGAGACTTGTGGGCTGCGGACAAATTATGGCAGTGTCACATGCCCTTACCCCAATGGTAGGATTTTGTATGGAAAATAATCCCAGGAAGTAAAGCTGAGCTAGTGGGGTTGATACGGCGAGTACTTCTGGATTGTAGCGGGGATGTTAGGCGGGTCAGTGGGTGTCTTTTAATGAGGAGGTCCTTGTTGATCAAGGGCTTCCATTGTTGAGGAAGGTGCAGGTTGTGGAGAAACGCATGGGAGTTTGTATCACCAGGACAACCCTTTGTGGAAATCCCACCTAACTTTCAGAAGCCTGGCCATCGATTTCTGAGCAAATATTCCCCCGCTGCCCCTTTTCTCTGTGAGTTCAGTACTACTTTGCCTCGAGCTCCGGGGCTGCGAGCTTCGTCAGGCCAGCCTTGATTTCAGCATACTTCATGCTTCATGTTTAAGCTTTGGTCTTCTGAGTTCTAAGGCCTCCTAAAAGGAGGGGAGATTAGATCTCTTTAGTCAGAGCCTTCATGTTTGGGCTGAATACTTTCTACTGAACCTCGGGAGAAATGAGCCGCAAACTGCCCCAAACCCCAAAACCTGCTGCGGCCAATTCTCCTTACGATTGTTGCTGTCATTGCTCGTCTTATCGTGAACTTGACAAGGCTCGCCCTTGCTTCATGTAAAATAGTCATTACAGAAAAGCCTGCTGGAACCATTGTGATGTATGACTATGAACTCCTGACGTACTCGTGTGCTGTTGCCGAGGCAGTGTGCTGGCAAGTGTGCAGAGGTGCGCAAGGGGGTTGGGCTCAGGAGGTCCAACAAGAAGCGCAAACTGGAAGTGGCCAACATAAGCGTGTATAAAGGAGTTCAGTTTCAGGCCAAAATGCTGACTTCAGGACCTATGCTTCAGGACTATTTGTAGTGATGTTTTGGGGGGCGCATGATTGATTGCAGAGGTGAAGGGCGATTGTTTTTATGTGCTCTTACTACCCAAGTCATGCTTTCTTGTGGGAGTGGCCAGGATGGAATCAGCAAAGCCCTGAACAGAAGCAAATGTTGTTGGAAAAGGCACTGCTCAGGGTGAAGCGGTGTAGTGTCATGAAGCATGCGAAGTGGCCCGTGGGCCCAGGGGCCCTTCCCTCATTATGGTCCTAGTATAGGCTCATTGTGAGCTTATGAAGATGCTATCCACAACGGGCCCCTCCGCTCTAGTTCTGCTGCGCCCAGTTCATGATCGTGGTTTCAGTGTGGTGTCTCTGCCTTCGTTCTCCGTTGCCTTTCTGTGCAGCATGCATGTGTTTTGCCTGCATTCATTGTTAAGCGCGTCCACCGAAGCTAAGAGCAAAATTTGCGAGCTCTGGGTTACCGAGATGTCGACATATTGAGACAAACACACCTCTACTTTTGATTTTTGAAGAGGAAATCATGTACGGACAGGGGTTTCATGATGCCCTGCTTACAGCTCCCTACCACATTACAGCTTGAGCGACCTCTCCTGCAGAATGAGCTGGGCCATTCACGGAGCTCTTCTGCATACTCCTTTTATGTTCTCTTCAACCTTCGGCAAGCCTTTTGGGACCTTGACCCTGCGTCTATCTGCCCGTTGCAGTGGGTTTTCTGTTTCCCTGAGGCAATCGCAGCCATTGAGATGAAATGACGTAGTGGAAGTTAGCCCCATGCCAGCTGCACTCAGATGCCCAACTTGAGATTTGTCCTCAGTGGGGCTGTCTGGGCTTCAAGCGCTTCAGATTTACAAAATCCGGGGCGTGAGCAATAGTGACCTCCAGTGTAGGAACTACATGAGGACGCTTTGGCTGAGCATGTAGTGCTTGGGCGGGAATTAGACTCAGCTCGTAACGCGTGGGCCGACTGAAACATGCGCAGCCCACGCATCACGAGCCTACAGCTGCTTGCAGCATTCCATGGTTTACTTGCATCCCCATGATGCCGCAGCTGCCAAAGCTGATTAGATTTGCAGAATGTATGACTTGGGGAGCTGCGAGACTACATCCTTTGCAATGCTGATTCACGTGTAGGCTGATTGCTCAATTGCTCAACAGTCAATAGTCGCTTTGAATGAATGGGCTCTCAGCGCGTCGAACACCGCAGAGACAAGCGAAGACGAGATGGGCTATACCCAGACTGTCTCGCAAACAGGAAGTGCTGGTTCTGAGCCGGGCTGGCATGCTTAATAGAGGCATAGCAGCTTTCTGCAATCCTTGCAAAGCATTCTTTCAGTGGTTGGCTGGGCTCCCTGAGTTTCAGGCATAGGTCTTACTTACTACCTTTTAGATCATGGTGACGTTGATTAGTGGAGCCTCTAACACATCCATTGGGGATTGTAATGAGGAATCCCCCTTCATCCTCAGCCATCTCAACTTCAAATCAATGGGGACGTGCCGTAGCGCTGGCAGTCATGGTCACGGTGGTAGGTGGAGAAGCAGCAGCAGCAACAAGAGCCGTAATGATCAGAGAGCTCCTGATTACAGCAGCTCACCAAAATCATGAAGACCTCCTTGATTGTTCGATTTGCTATCCTGTTTACTAGCAGTGTTTCCACGACATGTGTTCACAGGAGGTTGAAATTCCGGCTGTGGGCCTGAATTCATGGAGCCCTCAACCCGGTGAAACAATTCACCCGTAGGTTTCTAGTGTTCTAGGACATCAGCTGCGGTCATGCAAGCGACAGCAGCTGATCAGGCGCATGCGCGAGCGAGAAAGCGCAGATAAGGCCTGGTAGGCTCCTTCACCACTTAATTTCGTATGCCTCCGAAACTAGACAAAATCCGGTAGCACCCACATTCGCTGTAATATGTCTACTTGTAAAGGATTGTTCCTGCTGTCGCACCTCGCGCACCTAAACCCAGAAAGACATGGTCTACTTCCAAGTGTGTGTCTGCAATGCGGTCTGTTCGGTGTCAGACGAGGTGGTGCTGGTTCAGAGAGAGTTGCAAATTTGCGTGGCTTGCTCAAGCTAAAGTCTGGTGGTCATGTCAAAGTGGTGCTTGGAAGACAGCTCACTGCAGCCGTGCCTCAGAAATGGCACAACATAAGCAAAGCTTGGGCTGCATGGAATAAGATATAGACACATCGGTGGGTATCTCATGCCTGGCCTTCCTTCGCAAGCCAGTCATTGCCAGAGGTAGTGTAGATCCACTGCTTCAGAGCTTCAGAAAGCCGGACTGGAATCTGTTTTCGCCTCCGTAGGCCTAGTTACCTGGACATAGCTTGAGCAATGCGGCGGACCAGCAGAGTGGCGCTGCAGCTGCTACTCCTAGGCCTAGGGTCCGCAGTTTGGGGCTAAATACGGAGATTCTCACATTTGCCTTTTCAGCCACAAACGTGTCCTTTGCGCGTTTTGGATAGTACTGTACATGAGCAAGAGGCACTAGCAGGGCTTGAGCCCACCCGACACACCTCAGCCACGGCGAAGTCACGGAAGGTTCCGCGGCCTTATGGTTCGCGCACAACACGCCGGTATGAGCCCAAGTTGCAAAATCTCTCTTTCTCTCTCTCTCCCTCTCCCTCTCTCTCTCTCTCTCTCTCTCTTTCCCTCTCTCGCTTGTACATGCTTGTAATAGGTTGTGTTCAGGAAGCGTTAATTGCTTGTTTTACAACGCTTCCAGCAGCGACATCAGCAGCTCCTCAGGGAGCGCAGTGGTCTAGACTGAGTGTAGATTTGCGTCATCCCTTCCGGCAGCTTAGGGATAGTGCGAAGAGCCCAAAATACTCCCTAAAGCTGTGCCAATTCGACTGAGAGGTATGGACGTTTGGTGTGATCAGCGAAGCAGCAGCCTTAGCGCTGTGTTTGAACTGTGTTGAAGCAACCTGCAGCAGTGAGCCTGAGTCTAGCAGTTCGTCCATGCAAGCTTATAAGACTACAGGTTTACGGTTTGCATGGAGACGCGTGGAAGAGAAGACATCCACATCGGACCGAGAAGTTCATGCCATGTCAGCCATTTGCTGCTCGGACCCCCGACCTGTGACCTGTGGACCGGCCCATAATTGGTATGGCCCTGATCTCCTACTATGAGGAGACACCAGGTCAGCTTGATGGCGTGTGGCTGAATGCAGATTGTCCATGGGAAGAATATACAGTCACAGGCCAGCGAGTGAGACGGACCAACTCCCACGGTACTCGGGAGTTCAGCATCCAGTGGGATCCAGCACGGCTATCTTGGCAGTGGGGAAGACATGGTCGCCTGAGCATGCAGTGGCTCGGGGTGGACTCCATCGCATGGGTTCCAGATATGTCATGTGAACACCACAATGGCCGCGTGTGGCGGTGGCGGCGTGTGCAGCCCAGCTCTCCTCCAGAAAATACCATGCACAGCCACCCTCGCCCCCCCGACACCCGCATGCCACATCCTCACGCTCACCGCTCCTCACGTGAGCATCGGCGGCACAGCCGGAGTCGAAGCCAGGGACGCCACCGGCACCACAGCACCCACGGCAGATATCGCAGCCGCAGGAACTTCACCGACGCCCAGCTGCCATGTGGCTTGACACATCGGGAGGTCTACAGCTTACTCTCGCGCGAGATCACGCCCGAGGATTACGAGATGCTGCTACGGCTGGATGAGGCAGTTCCCAAAGCAAAGCCGGCAACCGAGGAGGAGACCAATGAAGCGCTCCAAATAGTTCCCGTGCAGGAGGTTCTCGGCAAAGAATGCCCAATTTGTCTTGCCCCTTTCAAAGAGGCAGATGTCGTGGCAGCAGTGCCCTGTGCTCATAAATTTCACAAAGATTGCATTTCTACTTGGCTCTCCAATTACCGGAGAACCTGCCCGCTGTGTTGCACGGAGCTCGAACGAGCCTAATCTACTTGTGCATAACTGTGCGGCGTGATGCTGACCACTGTTTTTCCGTCCACTCGGGGGCAGAGTCGAGTTGTTTTTGGTAATTGAGTGTAATTTGTGCGGCTTGATTGACCCAAGCCTACTTGCATACTTCTCAAGGCTAGGAGCGCAGCTACCCAAAGGGGCGCTGGAGCTTATGGCGGAAATTGCTTCTAAGCTTTGCCAGGCTGTAGTCCGTTCCCTTTGCTGGGGCACAATCACTGTGCAAGCAGCAGGTTGCTTTATGGCAACACATGTACATAACATTTTACAGGATGCGTTCGTGCATCTGAGCTGCTTAGCTGCCACCCCCAAGCATGTGCGTGTGTGGAAGGTGCAAACGCATCTTGCTTGCTTCGTCAACTAACACGCGTGCACGCCATAACCAGGAAGTCATGCAAGGCGGAGTGGGGAGCGCAAGTACGCAGCTGGAGGGGTTTGTTCGAGTAAGGCGTTTGGGGAAAGACTTGCATGAACATTTGTGAATCGCCAGAGAGAAAAAGCTGCCGCCAGTTTCGGAGTGACGCGCACAGTGAGTTTCACAAGCCCAGAAAGAGTAGCCAGATGCCACAGAAAGGGTCTGCTTTTCATGGTGCTTCTTCTCACCAGGTCGCGAGGCCTGACTTGCGAACCTCCCGGTGCTGAGCTCTGCTGCTCTGTGTCAAGCTATGCGGAACTTGCAGCTTCCGGAGTACCACAAAAGCTTCTCCTTTGTCTGTTTTGCCGCTCATGACACAATCTGATGGATATGCTGAAGGTTACTCTGCACTTTGCAGCTGAGGCGCGCCTTGCACTCGTCCGATTTCGAAGGCTGGACACTCAGAGACTGAGTGCAATGTCCTAGCTCTAGCTGTAGTCATACACAGGGCACTTCCCTCTGCAGCTATAACATGAAGTCACGATCTTGCTGCATCAGCTCATTTCCATCTACAACTCCAAGGAGTCAGCTGGCACGACCGGTATGAGCAGTGGCAGGCAGGTGTGTTTTGTGTGGTCAATTCAGCTGCAAGCTTGGTGCCATCTGAACAAGTATTGCGGTCTCAAGGGTCTTCAAAGCCACCCTAAACCCTCAACCATAGATATCCCTATATGCCCCCATATTCCCCTGAAAGGTACATGCAGGGTTGGATTCTATCTGGCACATCTGCTTCTCACAGAAAGTCCGATTTGGCCAAAGAAAGGAAATTGCATTGCACGCGTATACACAACACTAGCAAAAATTCTGGCTATCATGGTTCTGATTCTAGGGAAGCACCTGTTGTGTGGCTTCGTGGATGTGCACAGCTACCCGTCAAAAGTAGGCTTGCCCAGAAGGATCCCTGTGCCATCAAAATAGACATCAGCGACTGAGATTCTAGAAAATCCAAGCAAATCTGTATATGTACATCGGGTTAATATACTGTGCAGCTTCGCACCCTGTATTCTGGCAAGCCTGTACGCTTCGTGAAACCTCAGGTTGGCATTTGGCCATACAAAAGTCCCACAAAGCACAACCCAAGACTTTTGACGTCCAACCATGTCTCGAACATCGAAGCAACATCAAAGGTTCTGCTTGTTTTTGGTTGGGCTAGGGCTTGCGGCTTGCTACTTTGAGTCTGAACAAGGAGTCCGGAAGTTTCGCAATGCTTCTAGTATAAGGATGAGCTAGGCTAAGCAAATAGAGACTGCCAGTCTGTCGCAACTGCTTCACGCAACGTCAGGGTAAGGCATTGCTACTGCTGGGTCCTGTTGTTGAAGTAGTCTCACAGCTGTGCAACATGTTGCTCTCTCAACTACCGGAGAGGTGCATGTCGCTGACCCGGAGAGTGATGCGCCTCAGCAGCACTAGCCTAGAGTGCTTGGAAACGGCTGACGCTGGCCTAAGCGAGCGCAGCTGGGAATGATGCTACGGCTACGACTTCAAGAGATGCTCACAGTAAACTGTCACAACTTCTCAGCCCTCCAACCCCCCACCATGGCAAAATATCGACCCTGGCCCCCACTCCTGACCTTCAGTGCTCCTCGTGCAGGAAGCAACAAGCTTGGGCCTCTTCCGCTCCGAGATAGACGCAGCAAAGGCCAATTGCTCTGAAGGAGCATTGTCGTTGCGGTTGTAGTCGTCAGGGCACTGTGCTGAACGTCACCACTGTTCATCATTTGCCATCATCGCCGTCATCGCCGTTATTTGTATTATGGTCGTGGTCATGGTCGGCATCCTGGTCACGATCATCATCATCCGCAGCAGCAGCAGCAGCAGCAGCAGCAGCAGCAGCGTCGGCACAAGATCACCATCGGCATCATGCTGGTTGTTGGCACTTTCGCTATGATGATGATGATGATCATCATCATCATCATCATCTTCTCATTGACGTTCCCATAGTTGCAATGGTGTTTTTTAGCAGAAAGCAGTCGACATGATACCAGTTTTTCGCACTTGATAATCATCTGCGCTTTTGCCATGACTATCATCATCTTCATCAGCAGCTTTCATGGCATTGTACGAAACGATGAAGATTCTTGACTGTTGTGCCCAAGCAGAGCGTATGATAGCCAAGCTTGTCATACTTCATCGTTATGCAGTAGGGCTACATAGGCAGTAAGGAGACTTGGCTCTACGTACCGGAAGCATCGTGGGTTCACCCCCTCAATTTGTTGCCTGGGAGCAATGCTAGCTGTGCCATCGAACTTCAAAGTCCGGATGTCACCTTTGGAGCTTTGCAGTCGGGCTGTATACGTGCATAGTACCCATGATGCTTCTCCAGCAGCGGTTACTGCGGCAGGACAAAAGGTTCGCCACGCGAACTGACTACAACATGTCTACGGTGATGGCAACCCCTCTCCCTCCTCCGACTCTTAGCACAGGCTCTCCGCCGGAAATTTTAGAATCGAATAAGTTTACTCCAGCACATTCATTACTCCGCCACGCTGGCCACGAAAAATGAACCTCCTACTCCATTAATCTCTCCGCAGTATGTGTATGGCTGTAAGATGCACCTTCGTATGTCGAAACTTTCTGCTACTATACCGGAAATTAACAACCAGCTATGCATTTGCTCTTACCGTGCGCCCGAGGCGGAATTTCTCTAGCCGCCAGTTCGTGTTCTGTCATGCGAGGCATACGACTGCTGCGTGATCTCCTTGAAGGCCAGGACTCTGCTACGGTCACCTTTCAGCCGCGGATGACTGGCTGACTGTTCCAGTTTGGAGAGTACCTTGTTGCCCTTCATTCCGCAGCTTGCTGAGGTATGTCATGCCACACTCAAGCTCCCCAAAACGCTACACCTAAAGCCTGAGCCTGCGAACACAAAACTCTGAAAACCTTCAAGTGCAAGCGCAAAGCCCTGCTGCCAAATAGCCCCAGGGCCGTGATGCTGCTGTCAACAATCCCCAGAAGAACTACAACGAGCGAGATATTGCCTGAGACCTGGCCGTGGGGGCTCCAGGTATAGGAGAGTAATAGGCTGATATAAGCATGACTTCTAAAGCTTAGCGTTTTGGACTGAAGGTGCGCAAACTTGTGCATATCGGGGTGTTCATTCTGTGGTAATGGAGTATGTTTGGTGCTGTATTCTCCACAATAGCAAAGCACGACACAGGAGCGTTGCCACTGCTCCTTGCAAACTACGTACCGCACGACCACACACACACACACACACACACACATGCATACATGCATGCATGCATGCATGCATGCATGCATGCATGCATGCATACATACATACATACATAAGTACCTACGTACCTACGTACGTACATACGTACATACGTGCATACGTACGTACGTACGTGCGTAGATACATGGTAATTCTTGTGTATAGTGGGACCTCAATACAGACCCCCAACATCCTATAATCCTGATGTATTCCTCAGTTCCGGTGCCTTTTCCAGTCTTCGTGAAGGCCCCCAGGCAATCATCGCAACAGCTACCATCTTCTGGGGGACGCTACGCTACCCAATCCTAAGAAAACTTAGCCTACTATCAGAGGGGACAGATGCATCAACAGAATGGACTACAAAAAAACAAATCCCAAACCCCCACGGAGTGAACACCAACAGCTACAGCTGGGCTAGGCATGTAGAATCAATCCTTCAAAGAAGCCAGAATCCTGCCCAGTCAGAGCTAGTCCTCAGACACGCCTTATCACCCCTACGGGGCCACGCGAAGCCCTTCCAATCGGGAACTGGCAGAAGCCCCTGCGCTGACCTTGCTGATTGGAAGCCGGGAAGGAAGCAATGGGACAAGAACATGGAAACTACAGCAGTATGGGGTCATATGGGGTCCCATGTAGGGGCTAGCCCTGACTGTACACTACCCATCTGATCTGATTTTCAGCCAGCACGTACGGAGAGATTTGATGGTAGAAGCCTGCCTTGGAAACTTGAAAGGTGATCCCTAACAAGTTACTAAGAGCTACGGTGTAGGGTCTCAACACGAACTGCTGCTTGCTGGATACACACATAGGCCTCATGAATGGATGAATGGTCAGGAGCTTTTCGCACAAGAGCTTGAAGATCGCTGGCGGCCGCGGTACTCCTCCAGGCCAAATCACTGCAAGAGCCAGAATGCGGTGATGCAGTGATGGGATCCTCCTAAGAGGATTTCGACTGCCCAGAGGGTCTTCAACCTAAAGCTGAGGGTTGAAACCTGATAGTTCAAACTTGATTGTTAGTCAGGAATTTGGCTTCCAAGCTTACCAGGCAACGTACGCACCAAAGTGTGTGGGCCTGGCGTCTATCTTGCATCAGGATAGGACAGCTCCAAGGAACACCTACCTATAAACCCTCACATCCCAAGTTTGGGGGGAGACTTCTGCCGGAGCATCCTAGCCTTCCCTATAAACATCGAGTTGCGTTCCATTGATACTAGGGAATAAAGAAATATATGGGTGAAATTTTGGGTTCTTGGGAAAATGGAAAAGACAATGGAAACTACTATCGTATATTGGTGTTATTTATTGGGGTTGTATTGGGGAAGCATGGCTCTTATCATGAAGCCAAGTTCC